AAGTCTTCATAATTATGTAAAACACGATTGGAAATAAAATAAAAAATAAATAAAGGGAGTATGTAATGTAAGAAAGAGAAAAAAGTATTGAAAAAATTAAAACAAGTTCTTTATTATCTGTGAAGTGACCAAAATTATTATAACATTTTGATTATCCAAATGTCACCTTCATGTCTATAATAGAATTAGCTAGGCAATCCAACTATACTTAACAATTTAAATTAAATATAATTTACGAATGCTCATTTTTACGTTTTAGACATTACAATTTCTATATTTTATCAAATTATTTTCATACATCTTATACAATCTATTTCAATTATCATATAATTATCGGTTGATTTAGTCTTTTTTAAAATTACACAAAATGATCGGTTTTGTTTTTTATTTTATGTTCTAAACTCTACTTTTTAAATTTGTATACGTCATAATTTCCGACATAAAAATACAATTATCTTCACTTTGTTATGGATGGAGTGAATGGACCATGTTCTTCTTTTTTTCTCACGTACTTTTATTAATGAGCTTTGTTTATCTTGAAGTTGGTTATATGACATTAATCAATTTATATTTAACGAAAACTGAAAAAGTACCTTTTCTTCCTTTATGTAATAGTATATTTTATTTGTTAGAAATTAGTTCAATGTGAATAATAAAATGAATTCAAATTTAAATTTTTATCTATTTAATTGAATTTGAACTAAAAACTCTTTTATATTCAAATAATATGAAATGGTTAATTTATATTTTTGATATAATATTTTACGACCGCGCGTAGCGCGGCTGAGTTACCTAGTGAAAAATATAAAGGAAATTGGTATAGAGGTGGAATGATAGGATTGAAGAGGAAGTAAATGCATTTAATTTATTAATTTAATGAGAGAAAATTTTTATCATTATTTACGTACTCTTATGCAATGTTTTTAGAAGGCTGGAGTGTGAGACAAGGCGTTTACTTCCTCCATCTTGTTTTATGTGGTATCATTTGACTTGATATGGAGTTTAAAAAAAGATTTAAAATTTGTGGTCTAAAACAATTTTTAGTGGGGGTTTTACTTGACTTATTTTTAGTAGTTTTTGACTTTTAAACTATTTTTTTGGTTTTTGAAGTGTTTGAATAACACAAAAAAATACTTTTTAAAAGCTGAAAAAATATTTAAAAAGTCAAAAGTCAAATTGACATTTAGTGCTTGGAGGCTTTATTTTAGACATAACACATAAATATGCCCTTTAATTTGGCCTCGTTTTACATTTATGTCCTCTAACTTTTGATATGCACAAACAGTCACTTGTATTTTTAAGAAGAAGAAAGAGAATATTCTATTTTTGAGACTCCTAATCTTTGTAACAGTTGTTGACATTTGTTGAAATACAGTTGCTCTTTTTGTTATGCAAAACTGAAATTCAACTGTATTTCCTAGAAAGAAAAAGAAGCAAGAAACGCAACGGTATTTTATTCTATACACTTCTATATAATTCCCTCTCCTCAGGATTGAAAAATCAACAAGTGTCTTTTCTGAATCAACATTCTCTTCGCATTTCCATTCTCTCAACTTTTCCATTTTCCAGATTTGATATTCAGAATGCGTTCTTCTGATTACTTCCATTGCAGATGCGGAACTCGAGTTGCATTCGTCAAAGATTACGTTGAAATTGATGAGGTATGGATTCTATTTTCATCTACTTTTCCATCTATTCTATTTTCATCTTTCTTGAATTATTCTTTAATTGCTACTGATTTCAATATGTAATATTTCATGAATATAAGCACAGAACAACTTATTTTCATCTTTTGTACACTTTGCAGGAGCTAACCTTCGTGCTACAAGGGATCTTTACTGATATGTAAGTCTCATCATGATTTCACGCTAGCTATTTTTAAAATAATCTGCAGTCTGAGGTATGTGTATATATGTATGCAGGTTTAATGTTGAAGTACCAGAGAATGAGTCATATCATCAACTACTAGATGGCAAAACCGTAGTCGATACTTTCTGTGTCAACTGTATGGACCGGCTCGGGTGGAAATTTGTAAGATATTAATATGATCGATTCTCATGAACATGAGGATTTGCATTTCCTTTTTTTTGTTGTTGTTGCTTATACATAATTTTTCCTTTCGCCAGATTGCAGTCCCCCAAGGCAGTCCTTATGAAGAAGGACAATTCTTGATGATGTTGTAAGTTTAATTGGAAAAATGAGATTATGCATATGCGATATGCTGTGTAAGGTGTTACTAATACAAATGATTATTTTGTGGCAGGGATAAGCTTAATTACACTAATGGTCAACTCTCAGATCCTTATGATCTAGCTGGAGGTGCTAATGAGGAAAATGTTGATCAAGCTGGAGGCCCTAATGAGGAAAATAATGATAATCAAGATGGAGGCGCTAATGAGGAAAATAATGATAATCAAGCTGGAGGCGCTAATCAGGAAAATGCTGATAATCAAGATGGAGGCGCTAATGAGGAAAATAATGATAATCAAGATGGAGGCGCTAATCAGGAAAATGCTGATAATCAAGATGGAGGCGCTAATAATGAGGAAAATGTTGATAATCAAGATGGAGGGGGTGATCAACCCTTAGTTTCTAATGGGAATAATGATCGAAATCTAAACATTTGAACCAATTACAGATGAAAATGCAGACATCAATAGCTTACTCATACTGTACACTTGCACTGAGTGCAGTCACTAGAGTTCATATTAATTCATAAATGTGTGATATTCAGCTTTCTTTTTTGGTTTTGGGATTACAGTACTTCGTAAACCAAATTGAGAGTGAACATTTTACATATTAGAGCTCGGGTACTTCCGTTCTGTATATATATGCTGCTTAGTTTGTTTTTAATTTCTTGATACAAGTCATCTGTCCAGCATTTGAGTATAATCGACTGGTTAAAATTCACACAACTCTAATCATTATTTTTCTTTAATTCACAGAACTTACTAGATTTAACTTCCAAAACTTTTGGCCTCCCAATCCAAAATATTAATACTTATAGCTTCTAAAATTATTCACTTTTTAGTAAATCTAATCCTAAAGCTGCTGATTTTCTTTCTTGGGCGATATCGGTATTGTTTCATTTGTAATATAAATAAATTTTGTATGTATCATTTTATGTCGAACACTTACTAATTAGGTACTTATATTTATTAATTAAATAGGAGTAGTATGATTTGTTTTTCCTCCTTCATTTTAGATGACTAATCTCTCATAATTTTTTTTATTTTTAGATAGTTAAAAGGGGGATGAAGGCTCAACCATTCATTAGTTTGCGCTTACATAATTTTCTCTCTATCTAAATTTTTTCGTAACTCATTACAAACTTATTATAATATTATCTATTCATTTTATACTATTTGAATAAATTAGTAAGGAATACACACGCAACACACTTGTCCAGACACTAGTTAATTAATAGTATGTAAGAACTCTATCGTTCACACAACAATATCATTATTAAGATATAAATGTGTATTTTCTGGTGAGTAAATAAAAGGAAAATGAAACATAATGGTATTTTTATTCTCTATACAATTTTTAATGGTTTGCAAAATAAAATATCTGGTATGAGAAATTAAAAAGAAAATAGTTTTGGAGGGTAAATAGATTGAGAATTAACGGTAAATTCAAGAATCAAGAAGCGACTTTTCTATAAATCAACATTCTCTCTTGTGCATTTCCATAAAATTCATTCTTCTGCATTTTTCGTGTCTGAGTTGCTGCTTCTTCATTCAACAATGAGTAGATACTATTCACTTGAACACAACCCTGATGCGATCCCTCCTAATGATACCATCCACTGTAATACTCATGGGTGCAGAAGGCAAGTTACATCCTTCAACAATTATATTCCGATGGTAAGGATTCAAATATAATTTCTTCGTTTAGGGAAATTTTTTTCATGAAATTGCTACTGATTTCAATATTTTGTATCATGAATTCTGATTAATTCCAGCAACTCATTGTCTTGTCTTGTACATTTTGCAGTCTCGACCAAGAGGACTAGGGCTCTTTAATTGGGTGTAAGTATGAGCAACTTGAGATATGTATACACTTTCTTCTGCTGTCTAAGCCTCATTTATACATGCAGGATTAATGTTAATATAGCCAACGTGAGCAATCATCTTGGAACTACCATAGACAAAACTTACTGTAGCAAATGTGAAAAGATGATCGGCTGGAGAATTGTAAGATACTAATATTAAAGATCATCAACAAAAAGATTTTGTTGCTTTTGAAAAAAAAAAAAACATACTGAATTTTGTATTCTCCAGATTGCAGTCACCCAACCGTCCGAGTATATTAAAGAAGGGAGATTCTGCATGAGATTGTAAGTTTCTAATTACAAAATTGCAAACTGAGACTGTACACATAAGCGGTATGACTTATAAGGGTTAATATAAATGAGTATTTTGTTGCAGGGACAAGCTTAGTTTTTCAAATAATGAACAGTTGATTCGTCCAATCCAGGAACAAAATGTCCGCGCTAATGAGGAAAATGCAGATCAAGAGGGAGACACAACTGAGGGATATGGAGACTCTACTGAAGAAGAAATGAGCGCTAATATTGAACAAAATGTTGATCAAGATGGAGGCTTAGATGACGATATTTCTAGTTACTTGATGCATCTCCTCATGATCAAGGTGGAGGTGGTAATGAACAGAATCATGATCAAGATGGAGGTCTTAATGAGCAAACTCTTGATCAAGTTGTAGGAGCTAATCAGCAAAATGTTGATCAACATGGAGGCGATAAGGAACAGAATCATGATAAAGATAGAGGCGCTAACGAGCAAACTGTTGATAAAGATGGAGGCGCTAATGAGCAAAATGTTGATCAACAAGAAGGCTGTAATGAACAGAATCATAATCAATATGGAGGCTCGCCAATGAAACGACTGAAGATAGAATAGATAACATTGATGAAACTACAGACATTGAAAGCCTAATAATGCTGATATTCTGCTTATACAAAATGCTATAATTCATAATTGTGTGATATTCTGTTTTCCATTTCTGTTTTGAGATTGCACTACACATGGTATTACTTCAGGTTGCAATGTAGATATGCACAATTGTTGTTCTTATATATATAGTGGACCTCATAGTTGAGGATTCATGTTAATGTTAAGTTGCAGCTTCTGTTTGCAAAGTATTAATTCATAACTGTGTGATATTCTTTTTTTTTTGGTTTTTGGATTACACTACATATTGTTATTACTTCCCATACAACAGTAATATGGGTTGGAGCTTCTGTTTGTTTGCAAAGCTCCGACACATTAGGGAGAGAATTATAGAGTCTTAATTTAACTATACTTAGAGTCCTATTACAATACCTATTACTACTATAATAATAATAATGTAATTACAAATAATCTAATCCTAGTCGTAATGTAATCCTAGTGGACTTCAGCTAGTACAATAAATAGCAGCCTAATCGATATAAGTAGTCTAATTCTAGTGTGACTCAAACTCTTCAGTAAACTCGTCAATCAACTTCATTAGTCATGTTCTAATCATAAGCTTCCGTCATCTTCAACACATATATGCAAAAGAAAAAGAAAATTTGATGTGGAAAAGCTAGATAACCTTTTCTATTTATAGCCAACTATATGGATTAAATAGTTTGATGTTGAAAAGCTAGATAACCCTTTCTATTTATAGCCAACAATATGGATTAAATAGGTGTGAATTCACCTGTTCAGAACATGCATGGTGTCGTTTGGGAGAGGAGATGTTTGTTCGGAAGGAACATGTAACTGCCCAGTCCACTAGGGATATTGTCCTGGCCTAGGCTCGCACGTCTTTAAAACGCGTCACTAGTTGGTAAGGTCTGCTTACTTATATACTCCACATCTCTCTTGTGTTTTGCTGATGTGCGACTTCTAATCTTAAGTTGGGGTATCACAGAACACGTCCTTTCCGTATATTTTCTGCAAATTTAAAATAAATTTCCCGAGTTAATTAATTAATGATCCATGAATTAATGAATTAATAAATAATTTTGTGAATTAATATTAAGAAAAAAATTAATTCATGAGAATGATGAATAAATTGTCTAAAAAATTATCAACCAATCATTTGAGCTGGTGAGGAAGCACTCTCTTTGTAACCCTTTTAAGAGCTAATGAAGTATTTCTTAATATAAGGACAATATTTTTCCAGATGGAGAAAATAGTTTTGGAGGGTAAAAAAAAAAAAAATTCGTAAAAGGGAAAAATAAAAATAAAAAGAAAATAAAATTCATCCCTAGTAAAAGGTTAGAAATTTTTCAGAGCGATTTAAAAACAGAGCTGGTGAAGTCATTTGAAAACAGAGCACTTCTCAACTAGTAGTATTCAAGAATTAATTTCAGTTTTGGGCATTTCTCCTCTGCTTTAATTTTCACCCATTTTTCGTTTTCTTGGATTCTCATTGATCACCAACTCCATCTTTGGTGAGTAGTTTGTCTTTTCTTTCGATTGATCTTTCCAGCTTTTATATTTCTCTTACACTTTCTTCTTTTTATTCTTTAATAGGTGAATCATGTCTATTAGGATTTGGTTCTTGATTCAACAATTTATGACAAGAAACGATTTGCCTGAATACAATCATATCCCTTCTGTTCATTACCTCTACTGTCGTCATTGCAGAACTCAAGTTGCAACCATCCATGCTGACACTCCGACTCTACCGATTCTTTCTAGGTTAAGGGTTGCTGTACGAGAGGACGAGCGATATCATCAAGTAATAGATGGCGTGACCGTAGCCGGGACTTTCTGTGTCCAATGTAGAAACCTGCTCGGGTGGAAAATTGTAAGATACTAGTAATATTAAAGATCATTTGAGTTTCATGATAACAAGAAGGATTTGTTGCTCTTTTTTATTCCCTCTTAAATTACTGAACTTATGATTTCTCCAGATTGCAGTCTCCCAACCGTCTAGTATTTATAGCGTAGGAGAATTCATTATGACATTGTAAGTTTCTAATTACGAATTTGCAGATTGAGACCGTCTGTACATGTATATCTATGGTATGACTTGTAAGGTGTTAATTCAAATGAGTATATTGTGGCAGGAACGCATTTATTAGCTGGAACAATGTAACGTCCTTTGATTTACTCTTTGGAGGCAATAATGATCAAGATGGAGGTGCAGATGAAGAACAGGATCATGATCAAAATGGAGGCGCTAATGAGCAAAATGCTGAACAAGATGGAGATACTAATGAACAAGATTTAGGCGCTAATGTGCAAAATGCTGATCAAGATGGAGAGGCTAATGAGCAAGATTTAGGCTCTAATGAGAAAAATGCTGATCAAGATGGAATGGGCAATATTTGATCTAAATGCAAACATTTGAATCAACTATTGATGAAAATGCAGACATCCAATGCCTACTCATGCTGCAGAACCAGCATATTAAGATAGAGTTCATATTATACGAATATTAATTCATAACTGTGTGTTCATTTTACATGTTTGAGCTCGAGTACTTCCCTTCTCTATATGCTGCTAATTACTTTATCTTTTGACTATAATCTACCAGTTGAAAGTCACTGCAACTACTGTGCAATTGTCTTTGTTTCTTCACTAGTATGGTAGATATACAAATGTTTGATTTTGAAGAATAGGAATAAAACCCTTAGGTTGAGTAGGATTTTATTTGTTTCAATAGAGGATACAATATATATAGAACAAATCACACCTAATTTTGACCTTATGTATCTCGAGATACATGTATCTCGACGTATCTGAATGCACTAAATCCCTGATAAAATTTATTATAATTAACTCTTAAACTAGTGGGATTTCTGTAAGTTACCCTATTTCTTAGGGTGTTTGGAGTATTCCAATAAGATTGTGGTCCAAAGAATATTAGAGCGTGTCTTATTTCTAAAAGTTTCCAAATAATAGAATTTTGGCTCAAATATTAGTTTTTTTTAATTATTTGAGAATTTTAATTTTTGTCAAAAATATTTATCAAATAATGACAAGTTATATAGGCACATGTTACACCTTATAAGACATAAATTCAATTGGGTAATTTTCGCATATACCCACTCAAAAATAACTTAATTACGTTCTACAGTTATAGTTTGTTAATTACGATTCGTAGCTATATGTTATAGGGATGAGAGTGGCGAGCGAGATTGGGAGAGGGAGGGGAGAGGTGAATTGCATATGTATATATGTCAAAATAATTATATATATGTAAGTGGTATACATATGTATTTGTATATCTAGCGAGTGAGATTGGGAGATGGAGGAGAGAGGCGAGCGAGAGAAGGCAATATTTGTATAATTCGCATCTCGTTTGTATGATTCGCGGGTACGTTTGTATAATTCACGTGTTTTTGTATAATTGAGTAATACAAAGTCTGAAATTATATAAATATGGTAAAACTCGAAATAACGAATTGATACAAACATAAACATATGAACTTTAAACAGTTATACAAATTATATTATACAAATTACATTATATAAATTATATTATACAAATCAGAAAACTACACGTTTATACAAACTTTAAAAAGTTATAAAAAAAAGATTGAATGTATATGATGATAAAACTAAAAAAACAAAGGAAATCATTGTCATATACAAATACAAACTATTGTATACAAAATACAAATCAAACAAAGTATTGTTAGTTGTGAATTATATAAATGTGAATTATACAAACGTGACTAATTATACAAACTCGAAGTCAGCTCACGTAATTAATAGTTAATGCTGGTCACGAGTGATAATTATAGCAAACTATAGCTATGATGACTAATTATATAGTATAAATTTGTTTAACGTCCTAATTTTCCCAATTCAATTTTATGATGACTAATTATATAATAAACATATACATATATATTAATTAATCATAATTAAATAATATGTCAGGCAATCTATCATTCCGCATTAATATTCTGATAAGTTTTTAGTTTTAACCATTGAAATTCACATAAGAAAATTTGTTCAATTACAGAGCGATTTCAAAACACAGCTCTTCTCAATTAGTAGTATTCAAGAATCAAGAACTGATTTTTCTGTTATAATTCCCACCCATTTCAAAACAGAGCTCTTCTCAACTAGTAGATTCTCACTGATCAACCGACTCTTTTCAGAGCGATTATAAAACAGAGCTGGTGAAGGCATTTCAAAACAGAGCTCTTCTCAATTAGTAGTATTCAAGAATCAAGAACTGATTTTTCTGTTATAATTTTCACCCATTTTTTGTTTTATTGGATTCTCATTGATCTACCAACTCTTTTCTCCCTGGTGAGAAGTTAGTCTCTTCTTTCCATTGAATTTTCCAGCTCTTCTATAACATGTCTGCTTACTTCTACTGCGGTGGCTGCGGAGCTCGAATTGCACTCGTCCAGGATTACCATCACCCTGTATGATTTGATACTCCAAATTTTCAATTAATTTCTTCTGAATTGTTCTATTTGTATCATGAATTAAGCACTACTCTGTTATATTTCTTGACTAAGCTCAGAACCAACTTATTTTCTTGTGTTGTAAACATTGCAGGGAGACGACATAGAGAATTCAAGGTTCTTTACTAAAGTGTAAGTCTCGTGCAATTTCAACATCTTGAGATTTTATTTATTGCCTAATGAGCCAGCCATATATGCAGGTTTAATGTTGAAGTAGCAGAGGACGAGCAATATAATCCAGTATTAAATGGCATGAACCTAGCCACGACTTACTGTGGCAAATGTAGAACCCCGCTCGGGTGGAGAGTTGTAAGATCCTAGTAATAACAAGATGATTTTGTTGCTCTTTTTTTCCCCTCTTAAAAATTACTGAATTTATGATTTCTTCAGATTGCAGTCTCCGAACCGTCTAGGAGTCATAAAGTAGGAGGATTCTATATGAGATTGTAAGTTTCTAATTATGAATTTGCAGATTGAGACGTCTGCACATGTATATATGTGGTATGACCTATAAGGTGTTAATTCAAATGAGTATTTTATGGCAGGAAATGGCTGCATGAAATGAATCATGATAAATATAGAGACAGAACTGAGGGATATGGAGACTCTACTGAACAAGAAGTGGGTGCTAATGAGCCAAATTTTTATCAAGATGGAGACACAACTGAGGGATATGGAGACTCTACTGAACCAGAAGTGGGTGCTAATGAGCCAAATTTTGATCAAGATGGAGGCGTTAATGAGCGAAATGCTGATCAACATGGAGGCGGTAATGAGCAAACTTCTGATGAACATGGAGGCAGTAATGAGCAAAATGTTGGTCAAGATGGAGGCGCTAATGAGCAAAATGCTGATCAACATGGAGGCGGTAATGAGCAAACTTCTGATGAACATGGAGGCAGTAATGAGCAAAATGTTGGTCAAGATGGAGGCGCTAATGAGCAAAATGCTGATCAACATGGAGGCGGTAATGAGCAAACTTCTGATGAACATGGAGGCAGTAATGAGCAAAATGTTGGTCAAGATGGAGGCGCTAATGAGCAAAATGCTGATCAACATGGAGGCGGTAATGAGCAAACTTCTGATGAACATGGAGGCAGTAATGAGCAAAATGTTGGTCAAGATGGAGGCGGTAATGAGCAAACTGCTGATGATCATGGAGGCAGTAATGAGTAAAATGTTGGTCAAGATGGAGGCTCGCCAATGAAACGACCGAAGAAATAGATCAACTGGCTGATGGAATAGATAATATTGATGAAAATGCAGACATTGAAAGCCGACTCATGCTGATATTGTGCTTATACAAAATGCTATAATTCATAATTGTGTGATATTCTGTTTTCCATTTCTGTTTTGAGATTACACTACATATTGTATTACTTCAGGTTGGAATAAACCAATTTGAGACTTCCATTCTCTGTATGGTGCTTAGTTTGTTTTAAATTTCTTAATACAAGTCATCTTTCAAGCATTTGAGTATAATCGATTACTGATATTTCCTTAGATTTTGCTACTCAACTTTAGTTTTTGAAGGCTACACAGGAGTGTGAATGCCAGTGGTCATCTGTTTTCTCCCCTTTTTCTAAGGAATGGGTGTTTTAGGAAACTGTTATAGTATATGCTAACGTAAGTGCCAGTGCTCATATTATACTAATTTGGATTTCTGCTGTTCATATAATTGAATGTGTAACCTTGTGAAATCTGTACGACTCCTTTTGTCAAGTGGGATGATTATACGCGTGTTGTTGCCAACAATTGAAGTTTATTGCTGCGTAAAACACCTAAAAGCTAATACAAATCCTGTAGTCTTGTTTGGCATGAATTCGTAGTAGTAGAGTTATCCTTCACCACAGCAGTAGATGTCAGCTTCTCAAGTCTCAACAAGAGGATCCTAACTTCTTAAGTAAGTTGCAGCACCACTACAGTTTTGGCACATAAAGTAAACTTTCAAAAAAAAAAACTGATCAAGATGGAGACAACTGATCAAGATGGGGACACAACTGATCAAGAAGGAGACATTACTGATCAAGAAGGAGACGCTACTGAGGAAAACGCTGATCAAGATGAAGACACTACTGAACAAGATTTAGGCGTTAATGAGCAAAACACTAATGAGCAAGATGGAGATGCTAATGAAGATGGAGGTGCTCAAATGAACTGAATGATGAAAATGATAGCCTACTCATGCTGATGTTCTGCTTATACAAAATGCTATAACTCATAATTTGTGTGATATTCTGTTTTCCATTTCTGTTTTGTGATTGCATTGCATTGCATTACATATCATCAGTACAGTTTGGTACATAAAAGGAAACCTCAAGGAAAATAATATAATAAAAAAATAATGGCTTCGCCCGGACTCGAACCGGAGACCTTCAGTGTGTTAGACTGACGTGATAACCAACTACACCACGAAACCTTCAGGTATCAGATATTACTTTAGGAATATTATTTGGACATATTTTACCATAATACAAGGGTTATTGACTGCTTTCAATTTCCATGGCTCGAACTCATTGTTCCAAGATTTCCTCTTGATTTGGTGCAACAAACATATTAATCATGGCCCATCATTTGTTTGATACAAATAATTTAGTTATTTTTACTATCGAAATTCACACAAACAATAACTACAACTGAGATCAGGAGCAATTGTCTCCACAAATTTTTCTACTATTTCCTAATCTACTGCTTAACCACTATCATCTACTCATCTTGCTACCATGTTGATCACTAGCTATATATAAATTTTTCTAATTTTAACTATATTTTGAAACTATTAAAAAGTGTAAAGTTCAAGATAATACAATTTGCGTACAATTTTGATTAAAAAAATTTTAAATGATATTAGTATTTTATTATGTTAAACTGTAATATAATTTTGTTTAATTTATTAATTTTTCCTTAATCAGTTTTAAGAGTTTGTGTTTGAATTAGAATGTAATGGAAAGTTATAAAACAGTCTATTTATATTTCCGTTTTATTTAAATAAGGATTTAAAGTTTATAAAAAAATTAATTTTAAAACAGATCATTCAAATATTTAATTTTTTAATTTTTATCTTTATATAAATTTTAATTATTTTTTATACCCTTAAAGTCAATCTTTTTTTTTTCAAATTAACACACAATAATATTTAACTTATGCCCAATACATAAAAATACTTAGTGCTTCTACAGTTCTATTTACCAAACAAATTTAAAAATGAGGAACTTTCACATATAGTCACTCAAAAATAGCATAATTACTCTTCATAGCTATAGTTTAATAATTACAATTCATAGCTACATGTTATAGGGAGAAGAGAGGCAAGCGAGACTGGGAGAGAGAAGAGAGAGATGAGTGAGACTGGGAGAGAGAGGAGAGAGGCGAGGGAGAGAGGGCAAAGAGTGGGAGAAAGGTGAATTGTATATGTATATCGGTTAGATAATTGTACATTATACATATGCATTTGTATATATGGCAAGCGAGATTGGGAGAGGGAGGAGAGAGGCGAGCGAGATTGGGAGAG